TTTTTTTTTTTTTTTAATATTAACTGGAATAAATAAAACTACTATATAAAACAACAGATAACCTAAACATAAAAGCTGTCACCAGAAGACTTCTCAACACATAATTCTTTTTTATTTTTTAATGTTTATTTATATTTGAGAGAGAGAGAGCATGAGCAGGGGAGGGGCAGAGAGAGAGAGTGGGAGACACAGAATCTTAAGCATGCTCCAGGCTCTGAGCTACCAGCACAGAGCACGACATGGGGCTCGAACTCACAAGCTGTGAGATCATGACCTGAGTTGACGCTGGACGCTCAACTGACTGAGCCACCCAGGCGCTCTCTCAACACATAATTCTTAAGAGTCATGAGCCCTAATATGCTAATAAAATTTCTTTCCCTTAAGGAAACGATGTAGTATGGTTTCATTCATTGTATAGTTTTTTCCATTTATAATAGAGTAACTTCTCATTTCTCAAAAGTCTCCCACAGTTTGCCAGTATCTTTTCAAAGGGCCATACTAGTGTCCTTTCAAAATGGTAAAGAATTTATCTATTTAATTTGTGTGAAAAATGTTTTAAGTTTAAGCATCTCATAACTAATCTCTATTTTACCTCAGTAAAAAAACAGCTGTCAGCTGTTTCTGACCAGAACTTACTTTAGTACTGACTTTAATAAAACAACTATGTTAGAAAGACGTTTTCTAGTGTTCAGACAATACTAACTAGCCCCACTGCATAGACTAATTTTGCCCCAAGAAGAGTATCAGCAGCACCATAGCACTTACTATTTACTGAATATTCAGGCAGTGTTCTAAATGCTATATATGTACTTTATCATTTAATTCTCTCAACTGTGGGAGAAGAGCTACTCTTTTTACAGATGAGGAAACCGAAGCACAGAATGACTATGCACCTGTGTAAGAGCAAACCCAGGAAGTCTGTCCTTGAAGTTCATGCTCTTAACCCCTTTATTTGCTGCAGCAAATTCATTCATACTCTGATGTGAATTCATAATCTGACTTTTTACAGGGGTTATGATGATGGCTGTTCCTTTACGATCAATTACAAGATTATCAGTCTTTAAAAAAATGTTATCTTCTGTACTATAGCATCTTAACTTTATACCCAAATGTTGCCTTCTTGTCAGATGAGGTCAATGCCTCAAACAAGAAGGTCAACGTATTAATCACATCACATTGTTAAATGGAGAGCTAGTGTGTGTGTGTGTATACATACACATATACACACGTATATACATACTTTGTGGATTAGTAATCTCAAATATTAAATCATGCATTTTATAAATTTAGAAGGAATACTTCACTTCCCTGAATACCAAAATCAGCCACATTAAAGATAACAAAAAATAAAATTCAGAGAAAATGAGGTTGGTTAAAGAGTAACTCGGGACTTAAAAGACTGATGGGGGGCGCTGCGGCTCAGGCCCGTTCAGTCCGGGACTGGGTTTTAGTCATGATTTCTTCATGGAGGTCCCAGAAGTTCTGAGCTCCCTGGCCAGGCCTGTGCTGACAGCTCAGAGCCTGGAGCCTGTTTCAGATTCTCCCTCTCTCTCTGACCCTCCCCTGTTCATGCTCTGTCTCTGTCTCAAAAATAAATAAACGTTAGAAAAAAAAAAAGAAATTTAAAAAAAAAAAAGACTGCCAACAGCCTAACAAATGAGACAGTGTGGAAAGATGGACGGTGTTTGATACTCTTTACTTTCAACAGAGTTCCGTGGATACACACTTTTTCTTCAGTCTTTTATTTTAGCAGTCTATGGTGTTTTTCACGTTACAAGAATTCTAAAACAGATAAAAGTGGAGTCATTCTGTCCAAGTAGGGAAGCCCAGAACCCGGAAGACTCAGTTTTCCTCAGCTTCAGCCCAGAGCTGCCCAGATTCTTCACTACTATTCTCCTACAATCATTCCTATAAACACTCTTCACTTCTATTCTGTACCTAGCTGAGCATTCTTCTCCATAATTTACAAAAAGCTTTCACGTGCATTTATTACCACATTAAAACCTCACAACAATCTACAGAAGTAGTATGCAAGATTATTTGTTCCATTTTACAGTTCAATTAATCTAGATTCCAAGGTAAGTCTGAGCCACAGGAAGTATTACATTTTAAAGTGAGGACCAGAACTAGGAAATACCTTCTAAACTAGTATGCCAACCCCACATCCCTAGTCTTTAGCCAGGAGCTCAAGACTTTTCACTGCCTAACCTACCTTTCCAAACTCACTTCCCTTGATCTGTAAGAACTGTGCTTCAGCTCATCTACAAAGACTAAGTAATCTATGGGCTAATTTTTGTATTGTGTTGCAAGTTTTTTAATTAAAATAAAAATTTTTTTTAATATGTATTTATTCTTGAAAGAGAGACATAGTGTGAGTGGGAGAGAGGCAGAGAGAAACAGAATCGGAAGCAGGCTCCGGGCTCTGGAGCTGTCAGCACAGAGCCTGACGTGGGGCTCGAACTCCTGAACCGGGAGATCATGACCTGAGCTGAAGTTGGATGCTTAACCCACAGAGCCACCCAAGTGTCCCACTGTGTTGCAAATTTTACCTTAGAGATTACAACCATCCCTAAGGCTGTACCATATGGTGGGTAAGAGCTTGAACTCTGGAGCCAGACTACCACCTCCTGCACTTAACTGTGTGACCTAGGTTAGATAACTTTTCTTTGCCTCAGTTTCTTCATCTGGAAAGTGTGGGGGAAAAAAACACCTACTTGGTAGAACTGTTATAAGCATTCAACAAAACATACAAAACTTACGTGAGGGCCTGGCACATAGTCAAGGGTTTGCATTTCTTATCATCACTACTACTGAACACCCGCATGTAAAGCACTGCACTAAGTACTGAGGATGGAAGAGTAATTGAGAGTTCCCATTTCTAGTGGGTTTGTTTCATTTCATTCGTTCAACTCAAAGAAACCATAATCTCAAAAAAATATTTTTTTCTCACACTGGCCACATGGTGGAAAAGTCCACAAAGTAACATAAAAGTGCTAAATAAACAGTAGAAAAGGATGTGCTGTAAAATTTTTGAGAAAGGAGTATATTCTGAGGTTTGAGGTGCTGGGGGGAAAAAAATCTCGGATTTTTTAAAAATGAAGGTGGTATAAGTTTTCTGAACGTAAAAACTGTATTTTTTTCCCCTTCCTCTTTTTTTTTTAGAACTCTTGCCTTTAACTTTCCACTGGGAATCAGGCTAAGAAAACAGTTTTCTAATACAAAACTTGCATACCTCACAAACTAAAAGCAATTCCTGCATATTATATTCACTCTATTATGCTAAAACTAAGAAACAGAACATTCATTTAAAACAAAAAATAGAAAAAAACAGAAAAACTATAAAGCAACTATAAGAAAGTCATGTTTAAATACTGCCTCAATTACAGAAAGTGAATTTAAATTCTACAGTTATTGAGTAATTAGCTTATAAGTAGTACACATTTGGTATTATATTACTATGACCTAAGGGGTGAAAATTAGGATTAAAATTAAAACGTAAAAGCATGAATTTAGGGTGCTAGGAAGAAAATTCTAAAAAACAAAAACAAAAGCAAAAGCATAATTTTTAAAAGGACATACTTAACCCAGACCATTCATCATCGATATAGGGTTGATTACGGCTAGCATCCCACTGATAATCAGAAGTGGTAGAATGAGAAACTGGCTCAGCAGTAGACCCTTAAATGAAAACGAATGCAATAAAATTAAAAATGGAATTTTCTAGTGATGTTTCATAACAATAGTTCTATACTTTGCATACGGAGACTAAATTATTTTTTACTTCCCCTAAAAGGAAAAATTCAGACATTAGAAAGAGTTAAGATAAGTAAAAGTAGAATTGAGGGTAATTTCAGATTAAGCATGATAATCACTTGATCTAATTCACGGATTAGAACTACATTTTGTCCCTAGATTTTGTCTTTATAATACGTATTTTGTCTTTTATAATACGTATTTCAAACTGAGTATCTACAAATTTCAAAAAAATCCAAAAAAAGTTCTTTTATTTTTGTTCTCAATGAAAAATAATAAAGCACAACAGAAATCCTGAATGTTTCAAGGGTACACACCTATATCCTGAGAGCCCCAAAGGAGAGAACTAGAAAATGTCTGGGTTTGCTAGAACCTATGCCTAAGGAAAAGTTAAAGACCTAGATGATTACCTAGAGAGGCGAGGCAGAGAGAAGTCAGAGGCAGGAGAGTTGTGCTGATGGTCGAGAGACCATGGTAAGTTCAGGTGTGTTTAAAGAGAAGCGTCTACCTTCGTCTGAATTTCTTCTGTTTTCATTTTTTTGGGAGGAAGGAGAAAATGGGGTCACAGAGTCCTTACAATCTGATGAAAGCTCTGACGGACTACTGCCCAGAACATAACACAAAATTTTGCATATAATTTTGGGGGCTCAGAAACTCATGGATGCCAGGTGAAAAGCCCTTGTTCTATAGCCATAAATTCGTTATCTATCAGGGATATCTATACCCCAGACTTTCTCAATCAGAATTTCCATATGTACTGGAAAGCTTGGGAAACTCTGATACTCCCTTAGGACTCAAAGCCACTGACAGAAAGAAATGCTTAAGAAAACCTGTTAGTGTAAAAGACTTACATACAATCATGTCCTCTTGTGAAAGTCCTTCCTAACTTACACATTTCACTTGGTTATAGATTATCTTAGCAGCCTTCCTCTAACTTACCAGCCCATAACTCTTAATGTAATGGCTTGATATATAGTCAAAGTTACATACTTTTTAATATAAATTTTGACAAGTAGAATAGCCCTATAAATCCATATATAATTAGCATATTAACTGCTTACTAAAGTAAGCACTAAAGTAACACTATTGCTATTTTTTTAGCCGCCAATGCTGCTTTCTCTGAATATATGAAGAGAATAGCATCTGCATTGCACCAAGTCATCAAATGAAAGAGGCAATTAATTTGTATCTCTGGAACTGAAATGCAGTCTATGAGACCAGAGGTTGGTAAACTATGACCCATGGGCCAAAGGTAAACTCACTTTTTTGTGTGGCCCATGAGCCAAAACCAGTTTTTATATTTACAAATGGCTGGGAAAAAAAATCAAAATAATATTTCAAAATCAGACAGTCATCTGTTTATGCATCCTCTCCGGCTGCCTTCCTGCTACAATGTCGAATTAAGTAGTTCCACAGAGACAGTATGGCCCACAAAGCCTAAAATATTATTGTGCCCTTTGTGGAAAAAAACCTACGAACGGCTATTCTAGTGACTTCAAACACTGTGGAGCTACATAATTAGTACACTGGGTCCATGAAGTCTGACGTGAACCAAATGCTACAAACTTAACACCTCCCATATTTATGTGGTATTTGTTAGGTACATATGACTTCTACATGATTAATAACAGTGATTAATAAGTGGCATATTCACTTAAGTACTGCTGAATTGATAACAGTTTATTAGTAATACTGTATTTTCTACATCAACAGATGCTCTAAGTAGAGTTCTTATGTGAGGTTCTACATAACCTGAAAGGCTTAGCTATAAAATTCATGATGAATAAAATAGATAAAAGGGCAAACAGAAATAAAAGGCAAACTGCAAGTAGAAGCATGGCAGAAATATGCTAGTAACAGAAAAGTATTGTGACCCTAAAGGGAAGGAAGGCCTTCTATTTGCGTTCCTGTCCGTGTGCCAAGGCACTTTCAGTTATGTTAGGTCACAGAATCTTCCTATCTCCACTACAGAAAGGAACCACTTGCAGAAAAAATTTAGGTCTTTCTTTCTCCCCCTTTTGTTAAGGCCTCTGCTATTTTATATATCTATTACTTATGTTGATAGCAGCACTTGACTCTGGGTTATTTTCCAAATAGCAAGAGCTAAAATGAATTTAAACAGAAATTTTTTTGTTAACTAAATGAAAGACTGTTTTCACATACCAGAAACAGCAGAGTTAAGTGTGAGAGATGCAAAAGAAGCAGAATTCTGTTCAGAGGTATTCATTCCCCTATCCACACTAGACCAAGCAGCTGTTAAAATAAAGAACGTCACTTGGAACCTTCAATTTGCAAAAGAAAAGTTGAAAGATATGTACAGATTTAAACTACGATAACAATCTTAAAGATAACCTTAGTAATTAGGACCACAATATAGCAATAGCTACCATTTACTAAATGTCTATTATATTTGCCAAACTTCGTATCAACCACTTCTAATCCTTAGGGTAACCCTGCTAGGCAAAATTTCAGAGTAGTTAAGTGACTTGCTGATAGCCAGAAAACAGCTGAGCCATAACTGAAACTTAAGCTGATTTCCAAAGCCTATGTATGCCTTTCTCCACTTTAGCCAGCTACCTTATTATTTAACTTTGGGTCAGGCACTGAACTTGGTACTTGACATTCATTATAGCCAATCCTCACAACTACTTAAATATGAGGTTCATACAAGTTAAAGAACTAACCTAATTTCCATAAAAACCAGTATGTGGGAGAATGGGATTCACACCAAATAGGTCTGTCTGAACTAGTCCACACTCATTCCACTATACTGTACTATTTCCTTAACGTTTTCAAGATATTTCTTACCTATAAATGAGTATTTTAAGGCACATACACTTCCTTGAGGCCAGTCACAACGGTCTCTTCTTAGTAACTCACTACAAACCCAATTTAATATAGTTCCCTCTCAATTTCAACAAAGGTCCCAATCCATCTAGGTGGGAACTCTAATCTGCTGCTTAATTTTATCTGTAGCAACATTAAGTACCGTCGAATTTATGTCCTAATTATGAAAATGCTACATAGCTTTTATAAGTAAATTGCAAATATCTGGTAAGGCCATGGTTTTTAACATTACTCAATAAAACTACCATCTTTTGCTAAATATGAAAGGATGCTTTACAGCATCGACATTTATGCTTTCTTCATTGTTGAAATGAGGCTGGGAATTTAGGGAATGACTTCTTCCAAACAAATTTTGATATTTCTACACAATTCCTGGACATCGTACAGGAGAAAGGAAGAATGAGCTTGAGAAAAATTATCAGTAAACGATCTAAAGTTTGTTTCTTAGGGACATTAGTCAACCGGAGTCTTTCTAGACTGATGGAAACTGATGGAAAAATAATGTAGGAAGAAACAGGTCTTTTTTCCTACTTAAACACTAAAAACTCTAGTGTCTACTGCTCTCCCAAATATAAGAAATAAAACTAACAAAAGTATCTGCAACAAGCACAACAGAAAAGAGTGTATGTTTAATGCACAAGGAATTACAACTTGATAAAAAAAAAAAACAAAAAACAATAAGAGGCCATTAGACAAATGGGCAAAGAACACAGACAATTCATAAAAGAAATAGAAATGATCAAGAAAGTTGTAAAAAATATGCAACCTCATTAGTGATCTTAAAAAGTTAACCGAACAATTTATGTATTTTTTGTTTATCAAGTTAGAAAATATTTTTAAAAATAAGAATACCCAATCTTGGTCAGCACATAATAAATGGCACTCTTACCAACGCTGACAGTATAAACCAAAGCTACCCTCTTAGAAAATACTGATAATATGTCATAGAGCACTGTACACATACTCCCTTTAACCCAATAATATCACTCCCAAGAATCTATCCTAAAGAAATAACCCAAAAACAAATATATTCAATGCAATGTCATTTACATGCTTAAAAAAGGGAAAAAATTCTCTTGATAATATGGGAATAGAAAAATGATTTATATGCTATGCTTACATAATGTATTATAGGGACTTTAAATAAAAATGCTTACAAAAAGGAAAATGTTTATATTACAATATTAAGTGTGTTTGTGGGGACATAAAAATGAATATCCAATTTGGATTACGTAAAATATTGTACACAGGAAAAAAAAAAAGACCATTAAATTAAAGAAATATAAAAAAACAGGGGTTGCCATTGTGCGGTGTGGTAACAGTGGGTTTTTCCTTTTCTTTTTGCAGTTTTCCATATAAAACATGGATTTCTTTTCCATAACACACACACACACACACACACACACACACACACACACACACACACACACACACACACACACACACACACACACACACACTGGAATTACGCTGCTTTATATTTGATGACTTTCAACAAGAATAAGCTTCTCAACTACTGGTCTTTATCTTTAAAATCAAGGGGAAAAATTATAAATAGGCATTTTGCAGACTATAAAATAGTATAAAAATGAATACTGTAAACTACTTCTATTTACCATTTTCATTTACACTCAACAGCTGAACTGTTGAAATTAATCAAAAAGTCTGCTCACACATCACACTTATCACTAAACATATATAATTACAGTCCTTAGCTACGCTGGCAATCAAATGTGATGAAACCACATGAGAACATGAGGGAGAGAGCAAAAAATACATTTGCTATTAGTTACTTTTTAGTTCCCACTTTGCTCCATGTAAAAAGGATATGAGATGTGTTAATTATTACTATTATTTCTGTATGGCTTTACGAATTTTTCTACTCATGGAATTTTTTTTTCCATTCCTGGAAAATTCAAAATGTACCAGAAATAAGCAATTTTAAATAAACTTAAAATGTTCTCACACTTCTTACCAATGCCAGAAAATATTGAACGGTCACTCCAACTCCTTCCCCAGTCTTTTCCATTTGCATTAGCATCTCCAGTGTCTTGACCCCAAGCAGATGGCTCATTTTTCCTCTTGCCTGCAGAAGCAGGTGAAACAGAGTTCCACTTCTCCTCACCTGCACTGATCTGTGAGGAGAGTTTTACAGACTTCTCATTCCAGCCTCCTCCATTTACGGTGAGGTTTTCGTTCATTCCTGAAGAAACTTAAAGAAAAGAAAAGAAGATTAAAAACTGATATGTGACTCCTTATTAAAACTGGGATATTATTAAATTTCTGTGATTGCTTGGTTTATATTTATCACTCATTTTCTCCCCTACTGTCTTCTAAATAGCTTGAGCTTCAAAGATAAAAATGAAGACTTTTAAAGGGGACATGACCACTGATGACTTTTAGTTTAAAAACTAAGAGGAGGCTTGAACTTTATATATTAATAATGTTTTCAACAGCAGAATGACTTGCTCAAAGAAAGTATAAAAGAGCAAACAGGGAAACAACACATATTCTGGTATACTCGGTATACTCACCCACTAAAAATATGAAGATTTCTCCTTAGTTATTATGTTCTTTCTTTAAATATTTATACACACACACACACACAAAATGTATAAGGCAGTGATTCTAAAACCTGGCTGCACATTAAAATCAATTGAAAATTTTCTTAAAAGTAGACAATGGAGCCTCAACCCAGACTAATTAAAATCAGAATCTCGGGGGGTGCGTGCCTGGTTGGCTCAGGTCAGTGAAAAATGTGACTCTTAATCTTGAGGTTGTAAGTCTGAGCCCCACGTTTGGCATAGAGATTACTTAAGAAAATAAAAAAAATCAGGGGCGCCTGGGTGACTCAGTCGGTTGGGCGTCCGACTTCGGCTCAGATCATGATCTCCTGGTTTGTGGGTTCGAGCCCTGCATCAGGCTCTGTGTCACAGCTCAGAGCCTGGAGCCTGCTTTGGGTTCTGTGTCTCCCTCTCTCTCTGCCCCTCCCTCACTCATGCTCTGTCTCACTCTCTCTCTCTCAATAATATAGTAAATGTTAAAAAAAAATTTTTTTTTAAAAGAAGAAAAAATCAAATCAAATCAGAAGCTCTATGGGTGGAGCCCAGGAATCAGTATGTATGTGTGTATATATGTATGCACGCACGTGTTGTGTTGTGTTTTTCTAAGCTTCCTAAATGACTGTAACGTGTAGCCAGGATTGAGAATCATGGGAATGAAGGAAGCTGACAGAGTTAAAACAAGCCTGAAATAAGGTGCTTTTTCATTTCTGAATTTATAGTATACTACAACACTTTTAGTTTTTAGGTAAGATATACTACTCTACTTAATTCAATCTTTATCATAAACAAGTACATAAAATATATTTTCTAATTGTGGAGCACTGGGTAACTTCAGACTGTAGTCCATTTATTGTAAAATATTTAATATTGTTAAAGAAGCAGTTTAAACGATGATAGGTATTAAGGTTTTTTCCTTAATAAACAGGGGTAAAGTCTTTTATCCCATATATTAAAACCAAGTCCTCCCCCCCCACTCAAAATCCTTCTTTTCTCTATTGACTTACACAATGCAAACAAGAATAAAAACTGCATATAAGCTGTTACTAAAAGATTGCTTTTACATATGGGGGAGAGGGAGAAACAACTAGAACATACCAAAGCCTGTTAGAAGTGGGAATGATTTTTCTTTTTATCCATTTTCCAAAATGTCTGGATTGTGATTATATTACTTTAGTAATTAAAAATCATTTCTAAGCCTTTTTTTTTCCTTCTGTATCATTCATGTGAGGAAAGAGACATGTATATAAGTTTCTATTTTGATGGGCCTTCAATTTAAGTTACATGTAATTTCTCTCACCCTGAAGTGTAGAATCTCCTTTTCCAGACTTAAAGTTGCTAACTTGAACATTTAGATGAGAATCACCTGGTTGAAATAGAAATAAAATTTATTTAATACTAAACAGGCCACTATGCACATTAAATTAGGAGTTAACACACAATTTAATTTTCACTTATTTTTAATAAATTGCTTCAAGTACTAAATTCTTACACTGGAAAAGAGTCAGTTTTACCCACAACATACATGACATGTCCTTAGGGAACTGAGTTCTTTAGTTACCATATTCTTAGTCAACTAAAATGGCAATATAGGACCTGGAAAATTGCTCAAATATATGGAGAGTCTGCTGTTCAATAATGGTTATCAAGATTCTTTTCAGTAGAACTGGAGAACTGGGCTCTGTAATTGGATTCAACTTTGCCACCTCTCAACAATACCAGCTGCCTTTTCAATAATCCTGGAAGCAAACACATCCAACTTAAAAACACTGCCAGTATTTGGGACCAGGACTTAGGAAATATGGCAAGAGGTGTGAATACATGTTACAACAAAGATACTATTTCTCCGACACTAAAAAGCAGAATGATCACAATGTATTAAAAAACTAGCATGACACAGGATTGTGCAGCAAGGAAAGCATGCCCAAGACAGTGAAAAGGGGTCACCAACAGAAGTGCTAAAGCATGACTAATATGGGATAGTGAAAATGCATAAACAGACGTTGTTGCTACACCAAAGCGATAAATTCCAGCAGGTCATCAAGCAAAAAAGTAAAAGACTGAGAAAGTGGTCTAGAGACAATGTGGGGTAGGGAGGCAATTAATAAAAAGGTGAAGGAAGAAAAGTCAATGCCCAAGTTGAACAGTATCACTCTGCAGACTGATGTTTCCAGGGTAAAATGATGGCAATGTAAAGAGCTACTAAGAAGCCATCAATATTGGATAGTCTGAGCATGTGAAATACTTGGGAAGACCATTAGCTCCACAACCTCTGAAGTTCCAGTCCAGCTTTATCAAACACCAAAGCATTCTCAAAAAGTTGGGGTGATAAGAAGTCCAAGACAGAGCCTGCACTATCCAGAACATGCTAGTTTCATCTTGGAATGCAAACATCCAACATGCAGAATGGTGACAAATAATTCCACTTAAATGTCTTGTCCACTATAAAAATGGAGATGTAAGAGAGCTGGGGCAAAGCATTGCACACAAGGAAAAAGGCAACATCATTTTCTCATGTGACTCAAGGCAGAAAGGCAATTTTAATTTAAAAAGCCATTCATTAGGCGGTATGTAATGAGTAACACTGCTGGTTATCAGGTAAACCGATACATGGTCCACAATGCTCTCACGAAGAAGGGTATATCAGCACAATGATGTAAGCTGTTCAAAATAGTCAAATTTTTGACGTAATGATATTTTGTACATCTGATTAAAAGGAGCTGGATTTGATGTATGACTCTTATGTTCCACTAATATACCTTTATTCTTCTTGGAACCAACAGGAAATGATGCGGTTGTAAGTTGCTCGGTGGTAACTGTGATGGTATTTTCTATCCCAGGGATAGTTGAATCCAATGAACCAGAATCAGTCTGCACCTTATCACGTTTACGCTGCTGTCGTTTCTCTCTGTGACTAATTTTAGTTTCCCAGGCTCCTGACATAGCCCCAGAGAAAAAAGTGTTATTCAGTAAAGGGGAAGAAAAAAGTTGCAGTTTTTTTTTTTTTTTTGGGGGGGGGGGGGCACACAAAATATCATGATAGTAAACTAAAAACCAAGTGTACTGATGATATTAACTTATCCTAAGAATTTAATCTCAGTATGTTGTTTCAGGCAGCTAACTGTCATTATTATTTATTCTGCTAATTTTTATCAACTGTCCTCTATGATTTATAAAAAAATGATAAATGTATGTTATCTTATATATATTTTTTATCCTGCCAGACAGAAGGGATAGGAGAGTATTATAAATAAGTACTAATAAATGGATTTATTTGGTGATGACAATAAAGGGCTTACTCAAGAATTTTGTACACAACCTTTTAGGGATAGTGTATTTAAGAATAGGGAAAAAATTAAAACCATAGTTCTAAGAAACAAAGACAAAACAATTGCTCAACATATTGAGCTAGACCCTCAATTTGAAGATGGTTCCCTTCAGGAAACGCACTTAAATAAAAAAAAAAAAGTGTTTTCTAACAATGTCACAAATCTGTACATTAAAATCTGTAGTTACTAAAAAGAAAAGCTAGATACAAGATTAAGCAACACAAATGCAGCTTTTATATAATCCACCTTGGTAAAAAAGGATTAAGAATGTTTCTATAGTCCTTTCACTTGCTCAAGTACCTTCATCAACTTCCTTTCCATCATGGCGTGAACTGTTTTGCACTGCTTTAGCATCTGACTTTGATTTCTTCTTATTTTTCTTTGACTGAAAGCAAAATAGAATGTTACTTAATATTTCATTGTTTTTGAAAAGGTAGGAGTCAGTAAAATACATAATGAAATGTATGATGCTGACAACCAAAAAAATTTAATGTCTGATAAAAGAACTTAACATTAAATGGCAATAATAATAGGAGGGTACAATTTATTGAGTGGTTACTACATGCTAAGTACTTTGCACTGATTTTCTTCTTTATTCCCTAAAAAAACTCACTAGGGAAGGTATTATTCCCATTTTAGAGATGAGGAAACGCAGACTTAGAGATGTTAAATATGAAATTGGCTATCTAGGGTCACATTAAGTTAGTAAGTGGTAGAGTCAAATTAGGAAATAGGTCTATCTGGCTTCAAAGTCTGTGCCCTTAAAAACACGCTATCCTAACTTCCATCACAAATAAGGCAGTATAATATGGTGTTTTCAGAGCAATAAAATTAAAAAAATATTGCTAGCGTTGAGAAAGAAAATGATGCACTGATTAGTGGCTTTTGGATTTTATAAAGCAGATCGCTGGAATACCCTGCTGTATAACAAATTAGAGAGTCAACCAGACAAAGCAGTTAATATTTTGTCAGTTTCAAAGCAATGCGAAAATACCTAGGATTTGCATATGGTAGGTATTTAGTAATTCATTAAAAAAAAATACCTACACACATACAAGATGTGGGTTATTTTGAAACAGCCTTCCAATTCCATTCTGTTAATATTATTTTCTCCTCTCAGAAGCTGCTCATTAAAACTTGGTAAAGCCACGATTTCTATATTTAGATTAGTGCTTCCAGGAAAGTGCTAATATTCATCAAATATTGATTTTACTTATAATCTATATTCACTCTTTTAACTGAGATTGGCTATGTATATCTTATTATCTTCAAGTTAAGTATACCACCAGAAAAAAGATCATATCTTGATACTAAGTTTTTTTTTTCTTTATGGGTAAAGCAGTAAATGATAGTTTGAGTAAGCAATAAATGACAGCTCTTAAGAGTGATTAAAAATTCTTTGACAACAGGAGTATATAAGCAACTATTCATAACAAACTTTTTATGTTCCCTGTAGTTGATCTGTACTTGTTTTTTTCCATGTTCTCATTAACATGTATCATGTTTCATGTACTGCTTTATGACATCTACCAAACCAGGCTCATATCTACTTCACAAAAATTGACGTATCATCTACATACCATAATATTTATCCTCTTTAAACTGTACAGTTCGGTGGATTTTAGTAGATTCAAGGTCGTACAACTGCCACCATTTTCTAATTCCAGAACACTCTCATCATCCCGAAGAAGAAACGTGGTACCAATGACCAGTCGGTGTCCCCACCACCTTTTTCCCACTAATATCTACGACCAATCTACTTTCTATCGACTGTCTGTCTCTCACACCCACTCAAGATAACACATTGAGCATTTTTCAGTTATAGCCTGAAGTAGAGGTCAGCAAACTTTTTCTATAAGGTATCAAATAATAAATATTTTAGGCTTTCCAAGGCACATATAGTTCTATACATAGTGATCTTACAACCCTGCTGCTGTAGCATGAAAGTAGCCATATACAATATGTAACTGAATGGCTGTGACTGTGTTTCCACACAATTTTATTTACCAAAATAGGCCTCTGGCTGATCTGGGGGACCAGAGTTTGCCCATCCCTGGTCTAGAGCAGCACTGTACAATAGAATATAATACAAGCCATGTTTGTAATTTAAAGTTTTCTAGCATACAGATGTCAAAAAGATGAAAGAAAGAGGTCACATTAATTTTAATATACGTTAACTCAACATACCCCAAATACATTTCAGAAGGTAATGAATATAAAAAGTTATTAATAGTATGAGAAGGAACGCTAAATAGCCATTAAGTAGCTACCACATTGGACCGTACAGACAGACCTACAGGAACTAACTAAAGTTAAGTACCTCCATTTTACAGATAAGAAAACAGAGGCCATAAGAGATTATATAAATAGCTTACGACAAGAGGGTTATTAAGTGGTAAATCCAGAACTAAAATTCAGTTCTGACTCTAGATCCTGCCCTCACAAATACTCTGCTATCCTGTCACTCTACATTGAACTCTACAAATTTAATCATGTATTACTTATGCGATTTTGGGCTAAGTGTCTCTAAACCCCTTTCCCCAACTGCCATTTGGGACAAAAATTCCTAACCTCATATGAGGTTCCTTTTTTTTTTTTTATGTTTATTTATTTTATTTTTGAAGGAGAGAGAGACAGAGCATGAGCACGTGAGGGGCAGAGAGAAAAGGAGACACAGAATCTGAAGCAGGCTCCAGGCTCTGAGATGTCAGCACAGAGCCCGATGCGGGGCTCAAACCCACCCACGAGCAGTAAGATCGTGACCTGAGCCAAAGTCAGCCGCCCAAACGAGAGCCACCCAGGCACCCCACATAAGGTTCTTTTAAAGATTAAAGAAGATGTGAAAGCAGACTAACTACAAAATAGTATACATAAGCATACATAAGACTTTAAAGGAGAGAAAGTATGAAAAAAGGGGAGAAGTTATATTCACACTGAAATATACTGTGATTCGTCACTAAAATGAAATCTGCAGAAAAATAAGACAGACTACCTTGATTTAGGTTTAGGTCTTGTTTGATTTTAGTTAAGTAACTAACCAAAGAATAATGCTTACCCAAACAAGACTTAATAACGTATTTATAAAAAGCTTTAACACAAATATGCATTCATGCTACTATTTGCCTTAGCCGTCCTACTGACATAAACATCTTACTTGTGGGCAGCTCCACTACAGTGAACGCTTTTGAAGGAAAATGCAAATACAAAGTGCCAGCTCCTTTGTTACCACGTTCTTCCCTCCTATTCTTTGTCAGCCTCTACCATGGAGCTAGTTAACCTCTCCTAATGGCTGTCATGCAATCAAGATTTATTAAATCCCTACGATGTGCTAGACATACACTCCCAAGATTGTTTCTTTGTAAATTTTATACACACCCTCCTGACAGTGTATATACATTTGTAAAACAACTATTTTTTAGTGACAGCAATATGACCGAACATGCCTCATTATTTTTGAATAAGCTTCTCAATTCATGTATTTTGATACTTTAATACTTTTAATAACTATCATACTTGACAAAAGTATAGAGATTCACTTAAACGAAGGCCATGCTTGTCAAAACATGACACTAATTTTTCAACCTCATCCTCTAAGTATGCAAAGGTTTTTGTGGAAATCTAACTAGTAAAAGTTAATCTTCCTCAACACCAGCGGTTCCTGCAATCGAATCTGATGGTTTTTTACTTTGGTATTTTTAACAAATGGATCCACTAAAAAGACTTAAAAAAAGTTTGTTTTTGTTTTAACTGGTTATATCACTATCACTTATATAGATCTTCCTAATTAACCCAGTCAGGTTTCAAAAGAATTCTACGAGAGGCAGATGTTATTACTTCCACTTTACAGATGAGAAAAGAAGGCACAGAATGATTAACTAACCAACCCCAAGATCACCTAATTATTAAGTGTCAGAGCTGGGATTTGATAAGCATGCTCCAAAATCTGGGCTGCTATGCTTCTGTTAGGAAACTGCTCCCAAGCTGTTAAATTGTGCAGATAGGAGAATTTTCACAAGTAACAGACAAATAATTTATTTTATTTTAGAAACAGAGAGAGCATGAGCGAGGGAGAGGGGCACAGAGAGAGGGAGAGTCTCAAGCAGGCTCCAGGCTCAGTGTGGAGCTCAACGTGGGGCTTCATCCCACAACCCTGGGATCTAACCTAAAGGTTAGAAATGGATGCTATGATACTTTAGTCTGCAGGTAAGTGGCTAGTGTGTAAGATTTCCCCCTAACTCATGGCAGTAACTATTCTGTTTTCTGAGACTTTTGTTCTATTTCCATTGGGTCAAAATTTTTCTTTTTTGTAATGGTGACAGTGATTTTAAAAATGTACATACCTGACAAAATTAAAAGCGGTCAGTGAAGTTCATCATTTTGAAAACTAAGCAACTGCTTCTTGAAAAGTCTGAAAACTACTGCTTTAGGATCAATTTCATCCACCTTTTGCCTAAACAAATATGGTAAGTCCCTATTTTATACTGCTCCACATTCAGCACTATTTATTTTTCTCACTTGTCTCAAACATATAGATGAACAAGGCATAAATGGCAAAGGATGGATGGTCCAAAGAACATATTATTTACATTTCTCTGAACTATCTATACCAACAGTTCTTAATCTTGGTAACTTGGTGACATGATGTAAGGATGAGATTAATTACAAAAAGTGTCACAAACCTTTTTAAAAGTAGAGAGAGTTCCAGCAGATTTTCCTGCTTTTCGGGGTGGTGGTGGTGGTGGTATAATTTAAACTACAGCCAAGATTTTTCCACCCACTACTAGTCTGATACATTTCCCTGAATGCAAGGAAGGAGTAGGATTGTAGATGAAGGGAAGTACCCACAACCTGTACTTTACCTTCCTCCTTACCCTCGTTAGTTAGATTTTCTTTCACTGCACTTACCACCACCTACCATTAGAGAATATATTTGCTTTATTTTAGTCATCCCTTTTCCCATTTTATCCTGTTTTATCAATCGTTATACTCCTAGTTCCTAGAATAATACACCTTGCAGACAGCAGTTATTTGGTTAATCAGTAAAAGAGCCTAAAAATAAATTGCGTTATATATGGTCCTGTCTGCCCAACTCTCATTGCCCCCAAAATAAAACCTCTGAGCTACTCTATTTGTATACTTGAACACTTATGCGAGCCATTAAATTATTTAAATACATTTGGTGTGAGCTCACGAATTATGGTACACCACAAAAGCGGCATGACTACCAACCCAGAATCTTAAAAAAAATTTACAAGAAACTTTTCTTAAGAATTTTATCTAGCCCCAAACTCTTTCCCAGACATGGTTCTCAAATTTCCAACAGCTTAATAAATTAATTCCACTTGGAGACTCCATTTATTACCTCAATCTTAGCATGTTTAAAAC